GGAAAAAAGGGCCTAAAAGTTAAAACAACGGTTATCCGGGAAGGGATAAGTTTTCGGGCTTAGGGTGTTCCCCCACCTAAGGGAGGGGTGTAGAGGATGTAGAAGGGAAGACCCGCGGAAGAGCTGTGGAGAGGTAGAAACGCTATGGAAGTTGCTGTAGAGCTGTAAAAGCTTTAAATTCGACTGCGTGACGAAGACGGGTGCGTTGTAGAGCGATGTAGAGCGCGATTTTGCTCCCGAGAAAGTTGTAGAGGCTCTACAGCCAAACCGCCGGGAAGGCAGTGACTCAAAGAGGTCGAGTCGCACTAATGGGGTGTCTCCGAGCTTACTGGAGCTCTGATGGACGGCCCTGACTATCACTGACACACAGAGACGGTCACTCTGACGGCACACAACACCCTATAACTGCGTCATGACCAGCCTGCCATGCGTCGCCGGTGCCGCATTCGTCGCTGTGCTTCTTTAGCAGGCGGTGGACTATCGGCTGCGAGGACGGTCGCATTTGCGCGAGGCGAGGCGAGCATTCAGACGCGTTGCATGCGCCATGACTCGCGCCAGCGCGTGCGGGAGCTCCTGGCTGAGCGTTGAGTCCAGGCGAGTTGCGCTGGCCACGATCGCTACGCCAAGCCGAGCTGACGCGCCGAGGCGCCGGCCAGTCGCAGCCGTGAGGCATGCCACAGCAGCAGAGGCATCTGCCACCCATTGGGCGGGCAGACAGAAGGCCAGGGCAGCACTGGTAAGTGCAACGCGCCTCATGTCGGAGAGCGACCGTGCCTCGTTCGCCGCTTATGATGTAGAGTTTGTTGTAGAGATTTCACGTTGTAGAGCGCCTCTACATCGCTCTACAACGCACCCGCCTCGTCACGCGGTGGATGTAGAGCTCTACAGCTCTACAGCACTCTCCAGCTCTACAGCTCTACAGCGCTCTACACTCTACATCCTCTACACCCTCCCTCAGGTCCCCTAGCGGCGGAACGCCCCCTCTCTCTGCCTCTACTCGGAGCTAGTAAACACCAGACACGAGCATGACGTACACTCTCACCCGACATCGCCACTCAGGGCTCCTCCGCCCGATCTCCCCACCCCCCATCCGAAGGGGCTCCCCTCTCCTCCCGGTCCTCCTCCCTCCTGTTCGCTATTCCGATGGTTCGAGGCTAAAAGAAAAGAAAGAACGCGGAGAAACCAACGTTGCACCTAAAAATGTTCAGTGTATGTGGCTCTTACGTACATTCCCGTAGGAGGACTCTGCTGACAGGGTTTGCGATGAGGAAGAATTTTCTGTTTTTTTTGTCGTTTCGGCGCGAGGCTCGTGCAAACGGTGGCGGGTTCTGATATGGGCCCTCCGCCGCTGCTCCTCTCCCGCGACGGCAGCAGCGTGTCGATGGAGGTGTCAGCTCGTCGTCTACGGGTCGTCCGGCCCAAGCACGGCCCGTTCCCCCGCGAGGACGTCCTGCTGCACAAGTCCCTCGCGGGCGAGCCAGGCAGCAGCGCGGCGGTTTCAGTCTCAACAGACTGCCTGGTGGTGCGTCTC